TTTTCGATTGTTCGATTTTTCGATTTTTCGATTTTTCGATTTTTCGATTTTTCGATTTTTCGATTTTTCGATTTTTCGATTTTTCGATTTTTCGATTTTTCGATTTTTCGATTTTTCGATTTTTCGATTTTTCGATTTTTCGATTTTTCGATTTTTCGATTTTTCGATTTTTCGATTTTTCGATTTTTCGATTTTTCGATTTTTCGATTTTTCGATTTTTCGATTTTTCGATTTTTCGATTTTTCGATTTTTCGATTTTTCGATTTTTCGATTTTTCAATTTTTCGATTTTTCGATTTTTCGATTTTTCGATTTTTCGATTTTTGTTAGTGAGTCGTAAAAAAAATATGCTGTAAAACTCCAGTGGGCTCAAACTCACTCGTGGACGCGGCCAAGAAACACGCTGTCTCACCTAGCATTGTGTCTAAAAGAGATAGAATCAGTTATGAGCAGTTAGCAGCTAGTCTACACGCATACGTCTAGTCGCACGCACACAAACACCGTGCCGATGTTTGCCGAACTGAAACGACGTTAGACAATGCAGACAATGGTTTATTTTCGTGGAATTTCTTGATACGATCGCCGCCCTCAAAGCCCGCGATAAAAGCTATGCAATAGCTTAAAAATTAATATCTAATATTTACGCCAGCCGGGAACATTTGTGATACCAATTTATTAGAAGCCAGAGTTCTTGTATTGCATAAATGTTCCAGTCCGCAGACGTATATTTAACTCCGCTTCACGAATAGGGTCGGATAAAACCTTCTATCAAAGAATACCTAACCAAGAAGCGAAACTAAATGGGCGATTCGTGGACAAAAAACTGCCAAGTTTTCTCAGTGTTTTGGAGGTGGCTTAACGTCAAATATAGTTGTCAATTTATGTATAGAAACGTTTGGTATATTATTATTAGTGTTTTGTGAAAATTGCAGTTGTATCTAAGTAGTAATTAGAAATTAGTTTTAAGATTTTTATAACATGAACAAAAAAATGCATTATGTTGTTAATAAATTTTAATGAACGTTCTTGCAGCCGGCTGTGAATGTTTTATTTTTAAAATTTCTAAATCAGTATTAGCTATAATGATAATTTACGCCTACTTATTAGTATTTTATTTAAAATATGTTTTTTTTTGTTCTTTAAACCATTCGAATTAAAACAGTAAATAGGCAATAATACAAAACAATAATTAAAATATATAAAAACTCACTCCGAGGAATCAAGTCGCTGCTATCAGGATGCAATCGAAATGCATTTACAGCTACCTACAGTACTTCTGGATATGTAATGTGTGGAGGGTGGGTTACCCCACGGCACATAAGCCTCACTAGGGCCATTGTATATCCTTCTAAGATAACAGGCACCTCCTAGCTCGTGAGCCATCCTACAGATTTGCCAAGAAGTGCTCTTCTTTTATATCGGCCGGTATTAGCCAATACTCGCCGAAAAAAAAATCTTCTAATAAATGAGAGCATCGGGCAGTCGTAAAGGATGCGGATTTTGATAGCCCCATAATATGGAGATGCTTCCGTACTTGGCAATGACAAGTAAGAAATCAGAATGCATGTGATCAGGCGCAGATTCTGTCTAGTCATAGTCAAGTATTTGTTTGCTGTAGAGTTGTCAAGATAACTTAAAAGCTCACTGGGAACTCTGCAGTTTCTTGTTTCATCCCATCTTTTCTTGAATTTCACAGGGGAATGTTCTTTGACTGAGTCTGTCACTACCGATATTGTCAGGCCAATAGAAGGGCCAGGTACAAAAAGTATTTAGTTGGCTACTTTCTTGGCTAGTGAATCAGCAAGACGGTTACCTTTCGATGTGGCGTGACTTTTGATCCATCTTAAGGTTATCACATTGTTGATGGATACTTCGGCCAAAGCATTTTGACATTCTAGTACTGACCCTGAATAATTTCGTGGTCTGTTCAGGGTGAGTAGTGCTTGTTTGCTATCTGTATAGATGAACATATTCCTACCAGTAATATTGTATCTGGTGATTTCTTTTGTTGCTATGAGAATCTCTGCGAGCTCGGTTTGAACTACATTGGCATTATTGCGCACAGCCCATTTTAGGTTGAGGTTGAAGGAATTGGAGTATATTCCACATCCTGACCACTTGTTTTGTTTTAGATCGCACATCAGATTCTATTCCAACCTTTCAGAGGCTTGTCATCAGATCAACCTCCTTGATGTTGTAAATATTTATGTGTTCTTGGGATTGATAGAGACAGTGAATGGTCCTTGCACCACTGTTCCATAATTGTTCTCAAAATTCCCTATTTCCAGAATGACCAGGTCATTTGCTTATGCTTTGTATACTGACTGTGATTATTGTACCTAAAGTACTTATTTCGTTATTATTGTAATCCATTTTACATAATGAACATAGTATGTGTTGAATTCTTATGAACCAAACGACAAAAATTGATTAATTTTCATACGTTTCCCAGTGTATTAAGTTCCCGTGTTTTGGTACATACGAAAACTCATTCACTTTCGGTTCTTGGGTAGGTATTCTTTGCTTCTATGGCTATAACGCCGTACCGGTGTTCCGGTCGGAGTGGGGGGTGTTAGGTTTTTTTCGTTACGGTGTTACAAAATTTCTTGATTCGGTCGCCACTCAAAGCCTGCGATAAAAGCTATGCAATAGCTTAAAAAAAACATTTATTTGTAAGGTTTCTAAGCATTATCCTCTACAGTTCTATGGTTTAGGCATTCAAATACTTATTACTTTAAGCAGCGGTCTGAGCCCGAGCGTTATCTCAATGCAAGATGAGCCTTCCTCTTGGATGTTTTTCGCGAACCTTTTGGAGAACCTTAGGCAAACAAACTATAGTGTACCTTTTTGTATTAACAGTACTCTAGTGCTACAGTGAAATTATGCCCAGTAATTCCAAAAAATACGGCAACCATCTTTTTGTTTCGGCTTTTGTTGGAGCCGAATAACTCTCAAAGACCCAAACTGGCGATTGTTGCTTTTGTTCGGGATCATAGGAATATACCCATGTAACACATGTTCCATCACCTATAATGATGCTGTACACCATATTAGACGATCCATAGACAAAGCGATTAAGTGTAGATCTGCACCATCTCACAATGTCTTCTTTTTAAGCTAAAGTCAAGTTGCGGGGAATCCACAAAGAAGAAAGCTTACAGACTTTTAAATGTTTGTGTGAAATAGTGTTAACTGCTTTCACGTCAATTTTTAAAGTTGCTTGAATGTTTCTGACAGCAATGCCGGTCCTTTTTAATTATGTTTCGAATAAGATCAATATAGGAGCTCGAAAACAACTGTCAGTTTAGGAAATTCGACCACGTTGAAATTTATTGTACCACTACTTTACCGTAGCGAAAAAACACAAATTGTCAGCAAGCACTTGAAGGATTTTCTCAAAACATTCTTTACGTTTAAAGCCACACTTGAAATTGTAAAAAAATCACAGCACGATAATGTTTCTTGTTCATCTCATGTAACTTAGTCTGATAGGTATATTTGACAAATGTCACTGACTAAACTTGTAAATAACTAGATTGAAATTTTACAAAATTTAGCGAAAAGATAGTCCTCGTATAAGTTTTCAACAAAAAAATATATTGATTCAACAAATAAAATGTAACGTTGGTTGTTTATTTTGAGCGTGAGCGTTCTCAAAAAATTCTTGACAAAAGACGGTTATCCATATTTATAAGTTTCTTTATAATTTTAATATCGTTACTTCCTTTAACCGAAAGAAACTTAAAATAAGAAGTTCTATTATGAACTTTTTGTACGTAATTAAAGTTTAGGGATAACATACTTAATTTAACACATTAAGATTTTAAATTTAAACACCTTTCATATTTAATAGAAGAACGCATGCTAAAAAAACTCAAATTCAAAAACTGAAAACGACAATTTTAATTTAAGAATTCCAGGATTCAAATAAAGAATAGTTTTAATTCAATTAAGAATCAGAGTTGTACTGAGTTTTAAATATGCATTTTTGATTTCATACTTAAACAAATTTTTTTCGCCTACATATTTATAATATACAATTTTCTTCATAAAACCGCATATAGTGTATTCTATTTGAAACATATTTCTAAATACTTTATTCATCTTTTTCATTTTTCAGCCATTGCTCCATGCAGTAGCTTAAAAACATTGGGTATTCTGCAAGATTCTGCCTCCCCCCCAGCACATTTTTTTTTCACCCTTTCAGGCATCCCTCTGCCCCCCTCTCTGTAAAATAATTTCTGTAAAATGTAAATAAGATACATTTTTTGGCAGTTCTGCAGGTCTACAGCACTTATGCACCAGCCGCCACTGATTATTTGCTATTAATATGTTATCTGTAAAAAGTGCTGAAAAAATGCTACTTATCCCTGAGGTTTAAATATGACGATCTAACTTAACTTACCTTAGTCCAAAAGTGGATGATTTCGGAAATACAGAGTGTTAAAAGTTCCATTTGGTTTTAGTTTTTATAAATATATTTTTTTAATAATTGGTGTATTTTCAAAATATTTGGCTAGAGGGAGTTTAGTGAGGTGGAAAATTAAAATCTGTTCTCATTTTTATTGTAAAATTTAAAGGCCGATAATTTTTTAAATCGAAATATCTCAAAAACGTCTACTTAAACCTATTCTTACCACTTATACCTCTCTTAGGTAAAATACGTTGGAGAACAACCATTTTCATTTAAAAGTTAAATACAGAGTGGCTTAAAAAAGTTATTTTATTTTAAATGTGTGTAAGATACCGCAGCTAGCGCCCTTTAAATTTGTCGATAAAAATGAGAGCAGCTTTTCACTCCATAAACCCCCTAGCCAAATATTGTGAAAATACACCAAATATTATAAGAAATATTTATGAAAAACTATAACCAAATTGAACTTTTAACACTCTGTATATCCGAAATAATTCACGTTTATACTGAGGTAAATTGGGTTAGATCGTCATATTTAAGACTCCTATTTGGAGATTTATTGTCTAATAATTTATTTCAAATTTTAGGTCCCCATAATGCTACAACAACCACAACTATTTTTATAATATCGAGTGATAATACAGTAGATTTTAAATTCTTAAATGAGGTAGTTGATATACAGGAACAACAAAAGGAAGTAAGTAGATCAATTAGGCATTCCAAATAAAATATGTCTAAGGGATTGCGACATACGATCTATTCTATCTAAAACACGTGAAATCATGAATTATGGATTACATTTATATATTTTATGTCGAACACAATGAAAACAATAATAATAAAAACTGTTTTTACATTTTTCATTTTTCATAAATTGGCAAGGTTAACGACTACTATTTCGAATTAAAATAGCGTCCAAGATGGAGATTATGGCGCAATCGCCTTTGATATACGAGCCCTTACCACCGGCAACAATAGGTTTGACAGGTCATTGGAAAGCCTAATACAATAAAATTATTCAGTTTCTCATGACACTCTCACTAAGTTGGCTTTGAAAATAAAACACTGACAATTAAAAATATGTTCAGTTAATTAATTTTTTTCTATGAATTTAAAAACAAACTAGAATTAAGATATATATAATGCTTGGCATAATCTTCATAGTTTTTAATAGAAATTTCCTGAAAATTTCAATTTGATATCGTTTTTTTATTTGAGTTAGGACTTTGTTCAATATTTCAACCCCTTTATCCCCCAATTTTTATTTAGATTTTTTTTTTTTAGAATCAACCTGCTTCATTTCCTCAAAGAGCTTGATTTTTACTAAAAATTTAATGTAATATTTATTTATTTATTTATTTATTTATTTATTTATTTATTTATTTATTTATTTATTTATTTATTTATTTATTTATTTATTTATTTATTTATTTATTTATTTATTTATTTATTTATTTATTTATTTATTTATTTGATTTCTATTTTTTTATTCACACATTTTTTTAAATTAATTGTTTTTGTCCCCTTATGAAGCTTGATTTTTGTTAAAAATTTTAAGTTAATATCATTTTTCGTTACTGAGTTAGGATTTTTTTTTTCAATATTTTAACCCCATTGTCCCCCCATTTTTATTCAGATTTTTTATAGAATCAATAGGCTTCATTCCCTTATAGAGTTTGATTTTTTACTAAAAATTTTTGGTGTTTAATTTGTTTTCTTTTTTTTTCACCCCCCAATTTTGTTCACAAATTTTTTTTAAAATCAATAAGCATTGCTCCTTATAGAGTTTGATTTTTGCTAAAAATTTCAAGTTGATCTTTTCTCGTTTTTGAGTTAGGATTTTTTTTTTTTATATTTCAACTCCCCTCAACCCCCCATTTTAATTTAGATATTTTTTAGAATCAACAGAAGATGAGGATTCTTATAGAGCTTGCTTTTTACTAAACATTACATGTTGATATCGCTTATTGTTTTTAATTTACGATTTTTTTTAATTACAATCCCCTTGACCCTCCATTTTTATTCAAATTTTTTTAAAAGTCAATGGACTTTGTCCCCTTATGGAGCATGTTTTTATGCTAAATATTTCAAGTTAATATAATTTTTTGTTTTTGAGTTATAAGTTATTCAATATTTCTACCCCCCATTTTAATTTAAATTTTTTTCAGAATCACTAGGCTTTATCCTCTTATGAAGCTAGATTTTTACAAAAAAAATTCATGTTGATATCACTTTTCGTTTTTACTTTATAATTTTTTTATTTCAACCCCCCTCTTATAGAGCTTGATTTTTGCTAAATATTTCAAGTTGATATCATTCTTTGTTTTTGAGTTAGGATTTTTTTTTAAAATTTCAACCCCCCTCAACCCCCATTTTAATTTATATTTTTCAGAATCAATAAACTTCATCCTCTTATAGAGTTTCTTTTTATTAAACATTTGATGTTGATATCGCCTTTCGTTTTTGATTTAAGATTTTTTTTATTTCAACCCCACTTTACTCCCACATTTTTATTAAGATTTTTTTTTAATCAAAAGGCTTCTTCCTCTTATAGGGATTGATTATTTCTAAAAATTTCATGTTGATTTTATTTTTTGTTATTAAGTTATATTTTTAAATATTTCTACCCCCTTATTTGTATTTTTATTTTTTTCAAAATTAACAGGCCTCGCACTCTTATAAAGCTTGATTTTTCCTAAAGATTTCAATTTGATATCGTTTTTTGTTTCTGAGTTAGGATTTTTTTTCAAAATTTTAACCCCCCTCAGCCCCCCATTTTAATTTAGATTTTTCAAAATCAATAGGATTCATCCTCTTATAGAATTTGATTTTTACTAAAAATTTCTGTTGATGTCGCTTTTCGTTTTTGATTTATGACTTTTTCTTTTTTTTTATTTCAACCCCCCTCAACCACACATTTTTATTAAGATTTTTTTTAGAATCAAATAGCTTCTTCTCTTATCTATGATTTTTGCTAAAAATTTAATTTAAGTTATTTTTCTTTTTTGAGATAGAATTCTTTTTAATGTTTCAACCCCCCTTAACCCCCCATTTTTATTCAGATGTAGAGGAGTGAGGTTTAAAATCACCTCCATTGCAGGCGTTAAACGGGTTCTCATTGCACGTGTAATGCAAACAGAGGCTAGTCTTGTTTCTTTTGACATATTAGCTCTCGTAGTAGCTAAACAGTTCTGTTACTTCGGGCTATAGCTCCGTAAGTGATGATTGGTTGCACTATTACTGTATACATCCATTGCAGTGCGTCTTTTACCCGCAATACTTTTGCATGCCATTAAGGCTTTTGTGACATTATTTACTACTTCCTTCTAATGAATGTTCTAGAGAAGTTAGTTCCATTCTAGTTCTATTCCGTCTAATTTGACGATTATGAGATTGAATTTTATTTTCCTTGAATAGGCTACTAGTGTTGTTTTTGTAAAATTTATACTATCCTACCTCACGACACCATATTTCGGTGTGTTCTATATTACACAGGATATTTCCAAACATGCCTGTAACCAATATGACTGTGTCATCGGCATAACCTTGACAGGGTATGCCTAGGTCAGTCAATCTGCATAGAAGTTCATCTACGGTTATGCTCCACATTAGTGGGGATAGAACTCCTCTTATGGATATCCTCTAATTGTGCATATGTAGATGGTATCCTGCCCTATCTGTGTCTCTGTAGTTCTCGTAGATAGCAGCTGAGCCATCCATCTGGATGTGGTGCTGTCTACCTAATCTTCTGTATGCAAGTGCCCTTTTTGACAGATTTGTGTGGCGTGTTGTCAAACGCTCCAACGGGTGTGTTGAACGATTTTCAATTATTTCCGGTGAATTTGGTCAATTATTATTGAATGATTGTTACCAAACCCAAACTGATGCGTAGGAATTAATTTTTTTTATAACAAAAGATGTTAATAGCTTCAGCAGTAGTCTTGAATAGTTTAGACACAATTGGTAATAGCGAAATAGGTCTGTACGATTATGCTTTATTTGTGGGTTTACCATGTTTGGCTAACATTATTACCTTGGCTATTTTTCAGACAACTGGTACATGTTTTAACAGAAATGCTGCATTTATTAGGTATGTAAGTTAGTTTAACCAGTACTTTTTAGGCAGATTCTTAAGAATTTCTCCGGTTATAAAATTGTATCTGCTAGTTTTTTTCGGTAATATTAGATTTATGTTTAAACATTCACCTTCACACGACAGTAATTCCAGTGTGCTATTATTTTTATGTGGCTAAAAAGTGTGTTTGAAGGGATTTAAGCACGTTTCTGATTTTTCTTGATTTGACTTGGCGCAGCTTCCATTTTCAGTTCTGATTGGTGGGCTGTATGTTACTGGCGTTTTCAGTGTTTTTGTTACTTTCCGGAGGGAATAGTGTGATTCATTATCATCAGTTTTTGTAAGTACTTATTGATGGACTCATTGTTTAGTTATGTAATTTCTCTTTGTAATGTTTGGAGGGTCCTGTTTAGTCTTGCTTTATCGTTTGATGCTGTTATTATTTGGCAATCTTTTCTAAATTTTCTTTTTTCATTTACTAATAGTTGTCTTATTTAAAGAGGATAATTGTTTTTTATTGTTAATCTTCTAATTTCAGGTGTATTTTAACAAGCAGCCTGTTAAATGTCAATTACGAATTAATTGTTCTTTAGTCTTTAGTGAAGTTGTATCCTAATTGATAATTCTTCCTGAAATATTTCCCAATTAGTTTTATTTTGTTTACTAAAGTTGGAAAATAATATGTTTATGATCTGAATTCAGATTAAAGCTTTCGGCAATTGATATGTAGTTTAAAGAAATCTTTTATCATTGCCTTGGACAATGCACCCACTAGCAGCAAAGTTAGAAACTTGAAATTGATTTACAGATATTTCTAGAAACTACTTTTATTACAAAAAATCTCAGATCTTTACAATAAGTGCTTATTATTTGGATATCCGGTACGTTCTAATACCAAGGCCGTAAATGTGATATTTTTTGGCCGAATCAGAAATTTGTGGCCGAGGCTTAGCCGATGCCAAGCAACTTCTGGTTAGGCAAAAAAAAATAATCAAACGGCCAAGGTACACACAACATTTCTTAGGCGACTATCTCGTCAAGCAGATTTAATATTTTTTTTCACATTCTTTTTTCTGAAAAGAGGCTTGAATGTAGAAATTGTTTCAAATTTTTAATGATGGAATAAAAACCCATAGTTAACTACTAAAATTAATTATTAAAAATAAGAATGATAACCTTCCCAGGCAGCACACTTTGGTACAAATTACGTTTTTTTAGGTACTACCATACGTATGAATACGGTTGATGTACTACCAAATATATTCGTGAAAATGTCCGCCTTATAAACGTCGATTACTAAGAATTTATGCACCTATAATTAAACGTTTTTACTATACGTCTATATTAGATTTATAGTTGTAGTATATTTATACGAATCCACTTTGGTATAAAAGACGTTTTTTTTATGTACTACAATATACATATGGATACCGTTGATATGCTACCCAATATATACGTGAAAATGTCCGCCCTATAAACGTATATTTTTTTTATTTTTTATACGTCTAATATTACTACTTTATCTACCTTTTATTATCCTGTTTTACTATACGTCTATAGTAGATTTATCTTATTTTATTAATGCGTCTACCTGATATTGTTTTAAATGTATTTCAAACACAAATTAAATAAAGTGATCAAAACAAAATTTCTAAAAGAGGCCATGGAAGAATGTTAATATTTCTTAAATGACAGTTTGGATTTCATCCATAGCAGGTGTGTATACACTAGAAATAGGTATTACTCGTGTTTCTATTTTGGTTGTAATTGGCCTAAATATTTAGGAAATTTTTTTGATCACTTGTTATATATACAGAACAATATTTTATTAAAAAAAAATAAACAATAAAATACAAAAAAATAAATAAGTACTAAAAAATAAACACTAAAATACTGAATAACAAACTAAACGAAACTTTCCTTTAACTAACAAAAAATATATATATGAAAATTAAAATCCTAGCTTAACACTTTGGATGTGTTGTGTCCTAGAGAGGCCTTAGCTAACTTAAGCCAATCTTGCATAGCACTTCTAATCGTTTGGTCGGTTAAGTCTCTTGGTTCACCCCCATTCCTATAACAAAAATGTAACTGCATTTCAGGTGAAATATTTTCTAAAAGCTCCGAAGTTAAATTTGTATTATTTTCTAGGAAATTATTATAAATAATAGAATCAGATGATATATTAATGTCCGAAGCCTTATTAATGTTATCTTCATTGGGAATTAAAAAAAATTGATTTGACTTTAAAGCATCTTGAAGATTTTGTGCTATTTTAGACATTTTATTAAATAAAAAACAACTGACCAAAAAAAAAGGAAAATAAGTATGCTTAGAATAACTAGGTAGCCTAAAAAATACGTATAGAAATACGTATTGAAATACGTATAAAAATAAGAGAAACAATAGTAAGGTTATGTTTTGGAGTTTCTATAAGCATTTTACAAACTGTAATAAAACAGTAGTTGTTGTAAAATGCAACAATTATTAAACGAGTAGCTAAATTAAAACATTAATAGAAACTTACCTGTGCTTTTAACTAATATCGTAAAAGCCAACAATTTTACAATAACTTTTTATTATATAAAAAACAATTATCGAGGTTAGCAACTAGTTAACAGAAATATAACTTATAATAGCGTGAATTGTCTGATTGATAGCGAGCGCCACATCCACCAGCCACCATCAGTCAGCTGATTCCCGATCGTCTGCCGGTACCTTACTCCCCTCTAGATTCTCTGCACTACGCTTACTTTGGACCAGCCCGACTTGGCTTAAAGCACACCCCGAATCTCACTCACTGAAACGACATGGACTAGTCCACCCCACCATGGTTATTGGCGGGTTATTTAAATGTTCGGGTGTTTGAAATCGGAACAATGGGGAATTTGTTATAAATGTAATATAATTAAAAAAATTTGGTGTAATGTAAATAAATATATCTATAAGCTTTTAATTTAAATAAACCTAAATATATACATATTATTTACTTCTGTCTACTAGTTCATCGTAAACTAGTAATATGCGTTTAAGATGACTTATATTTAAACGTAGAATAATATAGGTATATTAACTAGTATCGACAAACCAAAGCGTTTAATTTATCTGTTAAAAAACGTTAAGTATAAAAATGGTAGATGGTAAACGTTTAAAAAATCAACCAAGACGAAATTTAAACGGGAGTTATAAACGAAGAACACATATTGTAATATTATGTAAATTTATACGAATTCAATTTAAATAAACCTAAACGTATATTTAGGCCCACTGTATATAAATAGTTCATTGTAAACTAAAAATAGTCGTATATTGGTAACTACATTTAAACGTAGAAAAATTTACAATTATGTACCATAGGATGTATACAAAAAACGTATAATATATCTTTTAAAATACGGCATGTATAATAATCGTAAACTGTAAACGTATACGGAATCAACCAATACCAAAATTAAACGAGTATTACGTATAAAATACGTTAGTTACACTAATGTGTACTGCCTGGGTTGTGTTTATAAAAGGAGGCCTTAAAGTAAATGCAGCTAAAAAAGTGACACTTTAGAGATGTTCATAAACCCATAAAATGTCATTTTTGTGACAGTCGCCTAAAAAATAATTTTTAAATTACTCGAATTGGACCAATGAACATTTTCTAAAATTGTTCTGGTGGTGTGCTGATTGTTTTCATATCTAAAATTTGATTAATTCAATAAATTTTATTATAATAAAGGACTACAATACATATTAATTACATATTTTATTGTTAATAGATGTTGGAAATTATAACAAAAGTTTTGAAACATACTGCTTACCTTCAAAATATAAAACAATCAAAAGAAAAAGAACAAACTTTTGCAGTAGCAACGTTATACTTTATCGAGAACAGCGCCACTACAACACTCATTTCATCGGAGGATATTTTAAAGTAAGAACATATTAGTTTTATGTTTTTTTTTAAATATTTTTTCTACGCCCACATTGATATTAGCTTATCTACGCATAGACTACAAAACGAAAAAGTATGCCGTTGTGTTCAACTGAACGAATATATATCCCATATTTTGGTCACCCGGTTACTATTATTTTATGCAAGTGACAATTCTGTCAAACGAATTGTCAGTATATTTTTTAGTTATTGAGATTAAATATACGTAATAAATATAGTTTTAAAAAAACTAAAAAACACGCTTTTAGAGCATATCAAACTAAAAAGTTAAAAATAATTTTTCAAATAAACTTAAAACAATAATAAATGGAAAATACTAGTACCTATTATTGTGAAAAAAGCGTCGCGCGCTCGATGTACGAGAAATATGGACAAAGCGCCCCACGCTTTTTTCACAATAATACTAGTATTTTCCATTTATTATTGTTTTAAATTTATTTGAAAAATTATTTTTAACTTTTTAGTTTGATATGCTCTAAAAGCGTGTTTTTTAGTTTTTTTAAACTATATTTATTTTTTACTTTTTAGTTTGATTAATTATTAAAAAAAAAATTGCTGAAAAAAAATAATTTTTTTTTTCAGCCGTGGGGATTAGAACCCACGATCGGTGTCTGGCAATCGAAAACCCGCGCGTTAGACCGCTCGGCCACAAACGACCTTGACTAAGTGGGATATACTGACAGTAATAAGCCACTTAAGTCCAAAGGAGGGTTACAAACATACATACAGGTGAAGCTAATATAAGCGTGTTAAAAAAGAGTTATTCTTGTGTAGAGTCGATAAATAATAGCATTTTTATTTTTATTTCGTCCACATTTACAAATAAATCTTAAATTTCAGGCAAACTATTTAAAACTAATTTAATTACGAATATTACAACTGAAATTATGTGACGACGGAGGTGAGGACACGAGGTTTATTTTTCACGCGAGGGGCCCGGGTTCAAATCTGGACTGGGGACTAATTAAATTAAATATTTCAATTCATGTTTATTTTATTTTATAAATTAAATTAAAGTAAAATTATTTTAAAATTAGTTATTTTGTCTTAATAACCTAAATTATTTTTTTAAATTAGTGGGTCGTAGAAAAAATATACTATACGAGTGGTTCGTTCATATTTACTCTTGTTGCACACACTACAATTTTCCTAACAGGGATTATTTTTTTTTAGGCAAGTAACGAATGTAAACACTTTTGGTGAACTGGCTAAACAGCTCAAGACTAAGGCTCTTTATTTGTATGGCTTCCCTTCACCTGATTCAAAAGTGAATTCCGATGGGATTCTTAGAAAGTGGTTGCTTGGAGTTTCCGTTATTTTGGGAGTGTTCTGCCTAATATTATTGGTTGCCCTTATTTGGAAAACACGACAGTGAGTAAAACATTATTTTTTATTATTTTTCACAGATGGCGGGTATACAAAATGTGTTCAAAATATAATTAAATGTATATCGCTTTGTCGTTTCAAATTATTGATAAATAAAAAGTGATTTTAGGTGAAATACACAAGCTAGACATACGTAGATGTTTTTGCGATTTTATGTATCAGATGGGAAATTTGAATGGAAGATGTACGCAGCAATAAGCCTTTGCTGGAGTGAGCACTTATTTGAACATACCTGAGAGGGTTACGAGTGTATGATGAAAAAATCGCGGAATTTTTTGTTTGAAATAATGAAAACTACCTTTGGGGTGGATAAAAATTGATTTTCTTAAATAAGTTCGTGTCAAGGGCCGATTAATGTTCCAAAATTGAATTATTAACTCTATTATTTATACGGGCGTTTAGTGAAAACCAAATTTGGGGAAGGTCATAGCACTGAATATCAACCACCATTTGAAATAACAGTATAATTTTGAAAGTGTAAATAATTTATCATATTTAAAACATATAGACGGTAAGATGATAATCTTTAGATCCTGTTATTCTATTATTATTTTTATAATTTCGGCCAGTGAACGTGTCCCTTCTACGATAACCAATAAGGCTAAAAAACTATCAAAAACAAAAATTAAGTTTTTATTGAAAAGAAACGAATACAGCTGATAAATTGTAACGTTTATTTAAATTAATTTGCTTTATTAAACAGTTTGATTTTGTGCTCTAGAAATAATAATTTTTCCACGTTTTCACCTAATAATTACTTCTCCAATCCGAATAAATTTGGCCAGGAGCACAGCAAAGAAGTTTGCATGGACGTGCACTGTGTAGAAATGACACCCGGCACTGTCACCATTGTGCCGGACGCCACCAAGCGTGATGCGAAAATTTTAGAAAATAGTTTCGGCTTCAGTTTCGGCTTCAGTTTTGGTAATTTTCCACCAAAAACGAAACTACATCCAAAACTCTTATTTTAAGCCGAAATTGGCCGAAACCGAACCGTCTCACAGTGGGACAATTAGCAATTTTAGGAAAAATTAATTATAAATTTAAATATTTTTCAGAACGATTAATTTTCAAATAAAGTAAGTCCTTGAATATCCCTGACTACTTAATTTCGGTTAACAAACTTCCTACTCTTCAGCTTCTTCCGTGAAAACGTCTCGAACATAAGCCTAGACTGTTGCGTTTTGTATATTTATTATATACTCATGTTTTCAAATGAGGCATTTGTTATTTCTGAGAGGTATGTTATTATTTTGTTATATTTTACTTTAAAATTGGTTATTTGGTTCTTTATAAATATGGTGTTTTGATTATAAACAATAATGATTATTTTTTAGTAATCTTATTATATATATAACTCACTTCACAGATCTGGATGGATCTACTTTGGTATTTTTTTTTATAATCTTATTTATTTTTAACCTCGATACATATATTTTTGATGCACAAATTTGCAACCAATTTACAAATTAATATTTTTTATTTACTATGTCCTCAACAAGGAGGAAACTTTTTGAAACCCGGCGTCAAGAAGGTAGTGTAAAAAATAAAATCGCTGCAGTGTTAGATTATGTTATAAAGAAATTTCAAATGAGTTAACATGAGAAAAGCACTGGTTGCCACATTGTGAAAATGTTTAATAGTAAAGCTGACAAATGTAAAAATTGCAGTCGATCGATACAAAAGTTTCTCGTGCGACGTGAACATCTAAATCTGAGGTGTTCAGTGAAGTTGGAAGTCAGTCAAAAAAAATAGAAAATTTTGTTTAGTGGAAAGCTATTTTACAGATAAATCAACTTTTGCTACTGCGAGTAATTTAAGAGAAACTACGTTATAAAAAAATATACTTAATATATTGGCTCATCCAGAATAGCCATGTAAATCTTTATTGGTCAAAAATTAGAATGTAGTGGTTTGAGAGTAAAGGGTCAAATATTGATTTGTAATTTATATAGTGTGACTACTTAAGTCGGCACCAACGTTCTGCAGAGTCAGCAGTAACATAATATTAGGAGATATTAAAAAAAAATTGGGCAGTAGAAGAACCGATAATTGGAACAATCTCTTGGGGCTGAGATAGGCTAAGATACTTCTGGGTTAATATAACCAGAAAAGATCGGAAGCCTGCATCTGCCTGAGTAAGAACAGGCTAGTTATTGTAACAGGGATCCTTACCGGGCATTGTCGACTAAAGTAAACTGAGAATAGTAGAGGATAGTGAGTGCAGATTCTGTAAGGAGAAGAACGAAACCTCCATTCATATTTTAACTGAATGTGTAGCATTCCAGAATCCAAGGGCACTATACCTAGGAGGATATCAAATAGAAGAGGGAGATTTACCTAACTTGAAGCCACTTCAAATCCTTCACTTCTTTGGGAAAATAGGATTGGAAGGGTCGCTATAGGCATTGAGACATTTCCTTAGTGCAGTGGCGACAGAAGGGGGCACAATAGATCTTTTAGGTCGCAGTGTATAAACACCCCATTCTCAACATAACAACATAAGTCGGCACCATATGGGAAACTTACCTATTTGTTTAATGAAAAAAAGGTTTTCTTCATAAAAAGTTCTGCATGGTCTAAAACTACAAATGCAGGTATTAGATATCAAATATTATAAGCCATGTACGAGGTCTGTCGAAAAACAGGAATTTCATGCAACTACTTTTATTTATAAACAAAATTGAAAATTGTTGATTTGAATTGAAAACTACTGTTAGATCTACCATCTACCATGAAAAACCAGTTTTATGATTCGCTAACTAAATTGTATAATTTGTGTTTAAAAAGTATTAAAGATCGTTTTTTAGTAGATGTATGCTGAATTTATGATCGTAGCTTCCAATTCTGATCAAATTTTTCTATATTTTCGATATTGTTAAAAATAAAGGTAATTTACCCTTGCTTAAAATTCATATTTTTTGACGAACCTATGCATGACTAAAAAAATTTGGTAGCCGATGCTTGAATTTTAGGTTTTAGACCACGAAGAACTTTTTATGAAAAATAACTTTTTTGCATAAAACAAATAAAAAAAAGGTAAATCAAACGAGGGTGGTCCTTAGGATCTCACTCTTGTGAGATCCTAAGGACCACCCTCGTTTGATTTACCTTTTTGAACTTATAACTCACACATGGCTACCACCTTCAACTTTAAAACAAATAATTAAAGAAGTTCCCATATGGTTTCGACTTATTTAATAAAAAAGAAATATATAAATAAATACAATTTACTTCTTGTTTTGTGTTTTTATATATATTCTGTTATTTATCATAAAATTAACATATCAACGTTTTTTAATGTTTTGTCGATTTTTTATTAGCTAGTTTATGCGTTTGTCCCACTGTGACGTCAGTCGGACACTAATTATTAGCTTATCATTATATTTTACATGCTTTGAATGTGTTAAATAATTAAATTATCTTAATTTCCAAAAGCACACTGCGTTAATCCAAATAGCAGCGTCATCGTTTGTTGACATTCAGTGCTATGGCCTTCCTCAATCTGTGACACGCACTAATGAGCGTATTAATTGTGTTAAAATGTAGGACATTGTTGTCTATAAGTTTATTTTTATTTTACTAACGTCTGTTTTGTAATTTAAATATTTTTAAAAAATAACGTAATGATAAATTATTTTTGAAACTTATTTGAGAGATTTTAAATTGTTTAAATTACATTCATTATCAAAAGTAACATTGCATTATGTCCACTTGAAACATATTTTAGTAGTTTTAAGCTCACATTAGTAAATAATTTGTATATCTATTTCAGATTAAATCGTAGAATTTCCCAACTCACTACTAGGAAATTTGGTTCACAAGATTCCGGATTAAATAGACTAGGAGTGTCAGCGCCAACTACAAATAAACATACCATCGAGGGATCAAATCCAGTATATAAAAACGATGAAATTAAGAAGTCAAAAGATCCGACTGATTTTGACACTGACAGGTATATTTATATCTTAAAAAGTTCCAAAAAATACGTTGCTAAAATTCGCGATTTAAATTCATTTTCCCGCGCACATATTCTACATAATAAAGAAAATTTGGAAAATAGTGATGTTTTATGTGGGAGATTCAATTTTAATAATCGACTAACAAATAATCAAATATCAATGTATTAGAAATAAAAACTCAATTTTAGTCACCACCTTTTAAGGGTGATATCTCGGAAAGGGGTGTTCTGAGGAAATTTTGTTATAAGAAAAATCCATCTTAAGCATTGGTTTCTTTGAACACTTCGTCGCGGTGAGCGGACAGTCCGTCAACCGTCGCGTTTTGACGATTTTATCCAACCAGAGTATTTAAATGGGAATGGTTTTCTTGAATCCGCTTAGCTGAACAGGACGGCGTCATGCCGCTGATTTGTCGCGAAGAGTCGGTTGATATCTGTTGAGTTTGATATCAGCGGAATCGTCGGCGTGTGCGGAGACTATATTGTTATTAATTTTAAAACAATGAGTGACAAATTCACACATACAGATGACATCATGACTTTATTTTTAGGTTTCTTGGAAATTATTATAAAACTCAACACGAATTCAAAAAGATCTGTAGAAAGTCTAAAATACTCCCTAAATTTGGTTTCATTTCCAAAAAGCCTCCGCTGCACAGTGATATTAAAGGCACCTTCTGTATCGCGACAGAAAAACAACTCAATCACTGGAAACTTTGACGGTTGCAATTGCCAGTTCCTCTTGTTCTTCCTCTTCCAACAATAATAACAGCGCAAACAATTTATTTGCAACCATTTTAGTACCTTTCGTTTACATTCATAATACATAAACAGCACGTACAGACATAGAGAAAGTATCATTTTCTATATTTTTTAACAAACCACCTCGGGCGAAAATTGCTGTCCTCAGCGGTCGATGGACTGTCCGCTCATCGCGACGGAGTGTTCAAAGAAACCAAGGCTTTAATTTCATACGAGCAATTACCTCCTGAATTTTGTCGCATGAATTTAGAAACATCCTGTACATTGCTAAATATGTATAGGTACTAATAATACAGATTGTGTTTTAAAACTATTTAAATCTTTATTTTATTTTCAGCATTAGAAGTGGTGATTCAGATTTAATTGGAATTGAGAATAATCCAGAGTTTGACTATAATTTTAATGAACCTAGTGCCCCTAGTGCCTCTAGTGCCCCTAGTTCTCCTATGGACAAAACGACTTATTTATAAAATTAATATAATGTAAAGAAGTGTGTTTATTTAGATAATAAAATTTATACTGGTTATGATATATTATTAAAAAATGTACTTAATTAAATTTTAAGTGTAAATAAAACAAGTGTACTGTTTTACTCTCCATTTTATCACCCTGGTATATCTTCAAGGCCACCGTAGTTGAACAATGCAATGCGTATGTTTTTTTAAAAAATCTAATATTTTATTGTTATTTAGTGGTGTTCATATTTTTTAAACTATTTTCTAGTACTCGAGTTTTAATAATATGGGTTATTGGAAAAACATCGTAGAGTATTCACCTCTGCAGGTCTGTGAAGCTGGCCCCCCAAAATTCTAAAATTTTAGTTTTGGATGCGGCATGCATTCAACCACCTACTTACCATGTTTGACCACCCACTAACTTTTTTTGACCACCCTCAGAAAGCTAAATATTTAATAAAATAATAAAGGCTGAGATCCCGCTGGCCCCTCGAAATCAATATTTTTTACAAATATGCGAAATTAAAAATTTAAAAAACCGACTTCAAAAACATGCAGATGCCATCACCACATCTTAACCAAATTTACATGGAACCACCCCTGAGGTACCCCCTTACTAACAAAAGGAATCATATAAATCGGACAAGTTGGTAAAGCTTTATCGCTAAACATACATAAAAAATGAAGAGTTTGAGGATTTTCTCATGAACCCATTTATTAGATTTTGACCAAATTTATATGGGACCACCCCTGAATATCCCCTTTCTAACAAAAAAAGAATCATTGAAATTGGACACCGTGTTAAAGAATTATCGCTGAACATACATAAAAAAAATATTGCGACGAATTGAGAACCTCCTCCCTTTTTGAAGTCGGTTAAAAACTGACTGAACCATAGGATTAAACAATTTTTGACCATGTTTGAACACCCATCAGAATTTGTTTTAACACCCCTTAAAATAATTTAAAGGGATAAAATGTAGAAAAACAAGAGTTCTGGGATGAATTTCAACTTTGAAAAAATTATAATCGTCAAAAGGCACAATAAGATCCCAAAACGTTTAATATTAGGTACCGCTGTTTGACCACCCCCTAAACATATCTTAGAAGATCACAGACGGTTTAAAAATTCAACGGTTAAGAATTGGCTTTAAGATTTGATCACCCCCTATATTTTAATTTGCCCAAGTAGTGTGAAAATTCGAAAAATAAAACTAGAACATCGATTTTTGAGTTCAATCGACAAAAGAGCACAACAAAAATCCACAACGATTAAAAATTATGTTTTGACGTTTGACCATCATCTAAAATACTCTTAATTTACCCAAGTAGTGTGAAAATTCGAAAAATAAAACAAGAACATCGATTTTTGAGTTTAATCGACATAAGAGCAAGTTAAATTTATTTAGCTCGAAAATATTTTTTTAAAACAAAAATTTACTTTTTGAAGATTAGAGACTTTATTTATGTGACTTTACTCTACAACAATCTAAGCTGGAATGAATTTTTAATAATCTATTTTACAAGATAATGCTAAATGCAGAGTTAACAGTTTACACCGTTTACGGTTTTATATTTAGATAGAATTAGCGTTTCTTCTTATATAACTAGCACAACAAAAATCCACAACGATTAAAAATTATGTTTTGACGTTTGACCATCACCTAAAATACTTTTAATTTGCCCAAGTAGTGTGAAAATTCCAAAAATGCTATTTGGAAATGGAATTTTGACTTGGCTAAAATGGTCATACGACATATAGGCACAATAAAGAAGATCAATAACGGTTAAGAATTATATTTTGACATTTGACCACCTCTTAAAATAATTTCAATTTCCCCAAGTAGTGTGAAAATTCAAAAAAAAAACAAGGGTATCGAATTTTGACTTGGAAAAGTTGTTCAAACGACATAAGTGCACAATAAAGATCCATAACGATTTAAAATTTTGTTTTGATAGAATTGTGTGTTGACGTTTGACCATCCCCTAAAATAATTTTAATGTGCCCATGCCGTGTGAAAATTCAAAAAATAAAAGTAGGATATCAAATTGTGACTTTAAAAAATTGGTTAAATGACATAAGTGCACAATAAAGATCCATAATAGTTTAAAATTATATTTTGACGTTTGACCATTCCCTAAAATAATTTTAATGTGTTCGAGTAGTTTGAAAATTCGAAAAATAAAATAAACGTATGTTGCTAACCGCGTATCGCAGATTCAGGAATTAACGGAAAGGTGTACTTGGAGACATATCAGCTCAAAACTAAACCCAGCAGATATATTATCTCGAGGTGTTTTTAATAAGAATGTTATAAATTTCTGGTTACACGATCCTGACCTTTTGAAAGAAGCTGAAGTTTATTGCTCCTGGTATAGTTCAAAACCCCCCAGAAGAGAGGTAAGTAGCGTTACCGGTTTTTCGGAAAGACATATTTTGGGAAAATATTTTTTCAAAATTTTCCAGTTTCTTCAAATTGCAAAGAACTGTATCTTATATTTTACGTTTTTCTCATAATGTTAAAAACTTGACGCTGCTTTAATATTTATAATAAAAATTGTTCAAAAATTGCACTTTTAAAAAGTATTTAAAGAAATTTCTTTGAATCAAAACATTTCCGACAAACCCATTGCTGCATTGCGACCTTTTATTAATACAAATGGCCTACTTATGGTAGGTGGAAGGTTAGAGAACGCTGATGTCTCTTATGCCCAAAAGCACCTTTTTTTACTCCCTTCGAAAGAGTATGTTGTAGAGCTCTTATTGACGAGAGAACATGCTCGTTTAGGACATGCTGGTCCTCAAACGGTGTTATCAAATATTCGTTTACGATTTTGGCCCTTAAATGGACAACGCGAAATTAAGCGAACCATTAAAGATTGTGTCACATGCAGCAGGTTAAATCCCAAAGTGGCAACTCAGCTTATGGCGCCATTACCCCGTGACAGAGTCACAGCCGCTCGTGTTTTTAATAAAACAGGGATAGATTTTGGAGGACCGTTCCTCATAAAATCTTTGCGCTTGCGCAAAGCCCCAGTAACATGTTACATCGCTCTGTTCGTATGCATGGTTACGAAAGCTGTGCATATAGAATTAGTCTCCAGTCTATCCAGCGATGTTACATTTAGTACAATTGTACTTTTTCTAGTACTATTGAATGACATTTAGTACGTTAGTACTATGCTGGCAAATCTAGTACTTTTTGTCTTACCGCGTGGTCTATTCTAGAATCGATCGGCAATAAGCTAACTTTACACATACTTAGCTTTTTACATAAGTTTTTTCTATGTTAATGGCGATTTTGTTTAATTTAACAGTTGTTTTCGTTCTGTGATTTGTTTTTTAACCAAATAAGTGTAATTTTTTTTTTTAAACAACGTGACGTCTTGAAATAGTGACAGGGGTAGTATTCTCGAATCTCGAATACCGACATTCGCATACGTGTTTTACAATGTGTCTCGCTTTGTTAAACGAAAACCAAGTGAGACAAATCATAAATCTCGCATGCGAATCTATATTCGTGACTCGAGAATACTACCCCAGATTTGCATGATCTGGCCATGTAATTTATAGGTAATCGGAACCTCAGAACATGAGTAAACCTACAAGACCGCTTTTTTGAGCAGTTAACACATAGTTAACAAAAAAGAAGAAAAAAGTACTTTTTGGCCCAATTTAGTACGTTTTCGGTTAGATTTTTAGCACGGAACAATGATACTCGCGTAACATCGCTGAGTCTATCTACGGAAGCCTTTCACGCCACTTTAAAGCGTTTTGTCTCCCGTAGAGGAAACCCCACAATTATGTATACAGACAACGGCACCAACTTCGTTGGAGCTAGAAACGAGTTACGAGAAATTTACAACTTCTTTAACTCGCGAAAAATGTTCGACACCTTTAAAGATTATCTGTCACAGAATGAAACCCTTTGGAAATTTATCCCCCCCCCCCCCCCAATAGCCCACATTGGGATGGTTTATGGGAATCGGCCATTAAAAGCGCGAAATTCCACCTCACTCGAATTATAGGAAACTCCCAACTAACATTTGAAGAGTTTAGTAGCGTGCTAACTCAAATTGAAGCTATTATGAACTCACGCGCGTTGTATGCCTTGTCGTCAGACCCCTCGGAAATTCAAGTGCTTACGCCTGGTAATTTCTTGATAGGTGCCTGGTTGTCAGCGTACCCTGATAGGAATGTCTCTAACACCCCAGAAAATCGACTAACGTTGTGGGAACAGTGTACTAAAATAAAACAATTGTTCTGGAAAAAGTGATCCTTTGATTATTTAAATCGTCTACAGAATCGCCCAAAATAGATTAAGCCATATTAAAATCTGAAAAAGGACGACATTGTGCTGGTTAAGGACGATAATTCTTCCCCGTTAAAGTGGCCATTGGCTAGAATTTTAGAAGTAATGCCAGGCAAAGATGGCAGAGTTAGAGTTGTTAAACCATTAACAGCTAATTGTGAATACACGCGCCCTATCAAAGATTTGCCCTTTAATATTAGATCAAACACCTCCCTCTAGTTAATAACCCACTTTATTGAATTTATGGGATGTTTCCCATTTGTCTTGAAGGGCTCTTTTATGTTTAGAATTAATTTTTTAATAAATATTTTAGTTTTGTGGGTCAAGGCAGCGCATAGGCCAAATCTTGGATTTGAATGGTTGTAGTGGTTTTTCAAAATACTAATCCGAACAACTAATTGTGCGTTAATTAGGCAAGTGCTCTTTGGCGAGCTGCGGCATTAATCATTTGAGTTCTCATGGGCCTTATAATATGTTCATTCGTTATCTTGAACCCTTCATTCTTATTTTTAAATTTGAAGTATCTTGTTACATATTTTTAGCGTCTAGTAACATTGGCTACTGTTGATACTCTCTCACCTTAAATACTTAATTTATCACTCGCTTTTGCTCCTGTTGGATCTTATAAAATATAAGTCCAATGCCCTTAGCGCTTACTCTCGAGCGCAACCACCTACAAGGTGGACGCTCTCTCTCTCTTTCTCACTCGCTGGCTCGCGCAATTGTTCTAATTACAAGGACGCCTGTATTAGGGATAAGCGGTCAAAATTACTGTTACTCTTTAACCCCCTTCAGTATGTTGAGAATTCAAATAATTCTCAACGGTAGTTAAATTCAAATTTACCACGCCAAATTTTCAATGTCCGATGAATATGCGCCAACTTGGTTTCCTGTAAAAATGCGGGAAATAACGGTCAAGTATTATCTGCTTCTGGCGCTACAGGATGGATGTGTTCCAAACGGCGTCAGTTTTACCCTAAAAAGTTATAATAATCACGTGTGTGTGTGTTATCCAAGCAGCAAGGTGCCGTCATTATGACGTGATTTTTTGGGTTTACTCGTCAGAAACGTCACTATCTCAAATAATGACGTTACTTTAACGTCATTTTTGTAAGTTAATTAGACGTCAAGGCAGACTCGTCGTTATGACGTAATTTTTTAGTATTAATTTATCCGAAATACAATAGCCTAATCAGTAACGTGTATTTGACGTCGCATTGATGACGAATAGACGTCACTTAGAATTCGTCATAATTACGTTATTTTTTCGTACATTTCTGGCAATGTCATATGTCAATTGTCATTGTTGTTTCCTGTTTCCTCCATCTTCATGATTCTTGTGACAGCCGTGACTTCGTGAACGTGGTGTATTTTTAAATTCTACTTTATTTGATAAGATGTTTTAGAAAAAGGTAAAAAATAAAATGTGACAAAATAATAAAGTATATTAAACCGAATTTGATATTTTACAGATGTATGGCATTGTTGAAAAACCGGATGATGACGGTGTGGCGGTTGTGAGGTGAGCAGAAAATGGTTGATGTTGCGTAAAAAACAAGTCTTAGCCGCCTTTATAAAGAAATATACAAAGAAATATAAGACTGGTGAGTAATGTTATACTTTTATTTTTTGATTGTGAGTTCTTTCAGGGTATTTTTTTAATAGTTTATTAAAAAATATAATATTTTTAGGGGGTCACTTTGATTTAGATACCTTTTATCGTCTCACAGAATATATGATCTTTTTTTTAATAACTTTTATTATAAACTCAGACTATATGTATACCTCTGAGAAGGTAGTTTTTGGGGCTACTACTTCAATCTCCGGTAAAGTAATTCCCTCAGATTTTACAACTAGATACACAATTTACTTTCTATCTTTAAGAATTTTCAGTGGTCTGTTTTTTAATAGTTCTTTTATTTTAGATGATAATGATAAGTGATGTACCAAATTAAATAAAGTCGAATTTACCTCAGATCTACATTCCGAGACTGATACCTACTAAAAGAAAACAGGTGCCAAATAGAAAGCTGTCATTCGATGATACTGAAGATGGTGAAATCGTAAAGCATGCTCGCCCACCCCCAATTAAAATTAAATCTACAATTTTAGGTATGTTGTGTCAGTTCCTCTAATATTCTTTTTTATTTTATTCCTTTTGATTTCTTGCACATGACTTTTTTATTTACCAGTGTAATTTATTTTGTATAATATATTTTTCATGTTTTTTGGATTAAATAAATAACTTTCATCTGCTTAGTGTTTTTAATAATTCCATCCAACCTTGGGACACCCAATATAGACGTCACTTTGACGTTAGGTAGATTCGTGATAATGACGTCAATTTGCCTTGCCTAGGACACCCGATATACACGTTACTTTAACGTTATATTGATTCGTCAAAATGATGATATGGAATGACGTCATTTCGCTGTGACATTCTCACGTTACCATAACGTTATTTTAACGTCATCAAATAACGTAACACACACCAAAAAATCACGTCATAATGACGGCATGATGTTGCATGGGAAGTGTGGAGACACCCTTTTACATTGGCGATACCCTATATCCCAATAAACCCAAAGTACCAAACTCTTTTTAAAACGCTTTTAATTCGGTGGTGACGAGAAGTCGGTAACATATCAGAATTGCATCTTATATGTCAGTGAAAGTACTATTATAAAAAGTGTGAAGTGTAGTGTTCAAAGGATTACATGTAAGCTTGGTACTGATATAATAAAAAGTCTGGAAATACCCTATAACTTTCAAATATGCCCCTAATTTTTCCTGTGAATTATACCACCAATTAAGCATTATTGCCAGATTGTGTGCCGAGTCGCTTGGCTCTTATGTAAATATTATTAACTGTTTTTTCCAATACTGAATATAGTAGTTATCTATAAACAGTAACATTTTATTCATATCCCCCTTTTTCCCCACCAAAGCATCATGTGCAGCTTAATACAGTCCACTTAAACTACGCATTTTAGGCCGTGTCCTGCACAAATACTAACATGCATAATTCGTTATGCCCTAAAAAAAAGAAATATTTAGTAGCAAAAACTATGTAATATATAATATAGAATAATAATTTGAAAAAAAAACACTTTCAATTTAATTTGTTATTTATTTTCCACAATTTTTTTAACGATACGTCCATGTTTATATTCTTATGGAAACTGCTATATTCTGTCACCTCGTATCTCTGCCTTCAACCTTTACTATGTTTAATGTAGAAACGCTTAAGCTTTGTTCATAGTAGGAGCGTCGCGTGTTGCTATGTGATAGCGTTGCGTGGAGCGAGTAGTCGTCGGTAAAAAAACCTAGTGTTATCAAACACAAAAGTTAAGAGGGAAGCCTTGTTCGGAGTATGGATGGACATAATCAAATGATCGTCATAATCGAATAATACATAATATATCTCAATAATTTATTTACTGATGGTACCATTTACCTTTAATGATTCCACAACTATTGTACTTTTCAATTTTTAAGAATATACAAAAGATAAAATATTCTAACTTAACATGTAATAATTTTAGATAAGATAAGCAATTTATGAACTAGATTAGTAATCATAGATATTTTGAGAATAACTTAGTTTCTTAAAATGCGCGTGTTTACGGTTTTAATGTTTACAATTTTTATAAAATGTGTTTTTCCAGTATGTGAAAATCAAACATGTTTAGGGACTGACATTGATATTAGGCTACAAAAGGGTATGCTAGTTTTGTAATATTTTTTCTCTCTATCAATAGTGTTTTTTAATCAGCATGCACTTTTGCTGGCATCCCGCCATATCTCGGAAACAGTTTGACAATTTTTTGACAATTTACAAAATCGTCTAAAAGAAAATACCTAAAAATATTTATTTTTAACTATGTCTCGCTTTATGTACTTTATAAAATAAAACAAAATCTATGTTATTTCAGCAAAACTAAACATTATTATGAAGTGTGATGGTTTCATTTTTTTTATAGGTTTGTTTTAGAGGTTATATGGGATAGAAAATGTGTAAATATGTTTAGTTTTGAAAAATAGTTATTTTTGTATCTAGTGCCCGAAATGCTACTTTGGTGATCGGGAACTGGTTTTTTAACGATGCGCAGCCGAATTAAAAAAATATTCGATAAAATCATATAAATACAAAAATCTCATCTATTTCGCGCATGGTGTCGTGGTAACGTTGGAAAATTAAAAAAAAAAGTGTCACTTCGCATATTGTTATCACACATCCAACCACCCACCCACCCACTCACACATTTCAGACCAGAAATTAAAAAACAAAGAATTGTGCCCTTAGAGCATATAAGACTAGAGATATTATTCAATGTATGTTGTTATGTATAAGCGAGGTCATCATTTTTGGCGTGAGGGGAGAGGGGTAGGTACTCCATTATCAATGGTGTACGGTTTGAAAGCGTTCGTATTTATGTTTACGATTTATGCACTGTAATTTCACAATAACTAATGATTTAGATAATTGATTCGCATAATTAATAAACAAATTTATTTAACAATATTTTTTTCCATTTGTTAAGCTTTCGTTATACACTGTATTGTATACATGTTTTACTGGAAATGACTATATGTTCGTTTAGGATTGAAAACTATTTTTTATTGTAGATATATAGACCGTCAGATAGTGACTGATTTAGGTGCCCCATTTTCGCATGCAAGCCTCGAAGAGGGTTGAAAAGTACATCGATTTTGAGTAGAATGAAAGCAAATTTACGAGCGGCCCCTGGGGATAACATATGGAAAATTCGATTTTCTTTAACCTAAATAAAAGGTGTTTTTTGGTCATTTTTCCACGCAAGCCATTTTCACTATATGATTAATTAATAGAACTAGGCTTCGAAAAATCAAAGGCTTTAATGTTGCAAGTGGCTAAAGGGTTGAAATAAGGGCGTAATCTTGTAAAGAAAAATCGAAATTTTAACCGATTTTTCCACACAAGCCAATCGAGAGTATGAAAACATACATCGTAACTAGCCCGAAAAGCATATTGGCTTGAGTGGCGTGAGTGGATAACCATTTTAAGGTTGGAAAATTTAACAGAAATTATTTTCGATTTTTCAGTTATTTTCCCATTAACGAAATTTTTTGCAATAAAAACTTATGAATTTAAGAGACCAGAAAAAAATAATGGCTTGAGTGCAGAGCGTGGTCTTCATATTTTCAGAACATAGGAAAGTTGCTGGAAAAATATATGCAAATTGCCACAATTTTCCCACACAAGCCGTTTGACATATGTGTAACGTTCATTTTTGGCCCCACGAATTAATAAAATTATTTTGGCTTACCTGGTTAATCATACGAAAAAAAAGGGTAAAATCGTATTGATGATATCACTATTATTTTGGTCATTAACTAATATCACCTGTATTCTAACTTTTGAACATCATTATTACAATTTATTCCATCTCACCACTAGTATAATACTTTGTACATTGGTCATATTTGCGGTGTAGTGTTCACTGTTTTAATTTGCCAGATTCTCCTAAAAATAGACCAAGTTTCGTTGTAAATTTATATATATTATGTATTATAGTCTCACCTTTGGGTAATTAATTATTTACGATACCATTCTTTAAGATTTTCTTTGTTTATAGCTGTCAGAATTAGATTAATGTTTATTAATTATGACAGTGAATGACATAAACGTCACTTGACGACAGAACACCGACAAGTGTCATGTTTGTAGTACGTTCCAATATCGGGCTCAGAACCCGAGGTAAGGTAATTTCACAATGAGCGATTTTAAGTCGTGAGGGATTTTTTGGCGATCGCTGTTGTATTAATTTTTGTCGGGAACAGTTTCCCAAATGTAGTTATACTGTATATAAATATAGTTTTTAGGGTACCTTTCGTAAATGGTCTGTTAAGTTATATAGTGGGGAATTCTTGAGGATGAATTTCTGAACCCACTTGACATTTATCGGAAAGGGATTTCGGCCATTTTGGACGGCTGACGTATTGTTTTTCTGGCAGTGGGTGTTGAGTCACGAGAGACGATTTTTGCGTCGAAGTAGAATTTTCTTAATATTTAGCCCCATCGGCTTACCCTAGTTAAAGGGGATTTTAGATTCTACTTCATGGTTAATTGTGGGTAAATGGACATTTCGTATTTTGAGAGGAATTTTAGTGTATTGGTAAATTCCTATGGTCATTGGTCCAGCCCATATCTATTATAGGATTTTAACGCAAGAATTGGACGTTCACAGCATTTGGAGTGTGGAATATTGTTGTGCTGTGGATCATCTCACGTGTTTCTCATCCTTGGAAGGCTACCAAGTTAACCCTTTACGAAAAAGAGTTTCACCCAGGGGGTTGTTAGCCCAAGATTCGTCGACAATTTTCACCCAGGGGGTTGTTAGCCCAAGATTCGTCGACAGTTTCACACAGGGGGTTGTTAGCCCAGGATTAGACGACAGTTTCACCCAGGGGGTTGTTGACCCAGGATTTCAACAGTTGTACACAGAGGGTTATATCGTCCGGAGTTCAACGGTTTCATCGAGGGAACACAGAACATTGGTATGCTAGCCGCCTAGCTTACTTGCAGCTAGATTTACAAGGATGTTTCTCGTTCTGGATAGGAAGATGGGAATGCTGTGAAAGAAGACACCCTACTATCAGGTTTTTCTTATATGTTATATTGAAGGTTTCATGCGTGCATTATTAAACTATACATTCACTTTCAACCGAATGTTGTCAAGGTATTCTCAACATTATTTATACTTTTGAGCACAGAATGTTCTAGGTTTCTTTCACTCATAACTTAAGTATTATCAAATGTTACATCGTTTAATTGATTAATATTTTAAAGTTTTACTTAATTTAAGCACTTAATGCTGATGTAGTAATCCTTCGGGTCGCAGAACATTTGGACTGCTTCCACGTTTAAGTTGTAATTCTTCAGTTATTAAGGGCTACTGCCATAATCTTACTTTTTTTCAATTTATTCATTATTAAATGGTCCAGACTTAACGATTAAGTTAAGCAATCTCAGAAGACCCGTGTGGGGGCAGAGATTAAGTAACCTCTTCCAATCTGGGAGTTTAAGTAAATAACCTCTGTGTCTGAAGTCCTTTGTGTATCTTTGTATTTTTATTTTTTTTGATATTTTTATTTAGTTCTATGAATTATACTTAATTATAAAATTACATGGTTTAATAATTTTCTTTTGGGTAGTTTGGTCTTAACCAAAAGTTAAGCAGATATCACCTTCCAATTTGGAGAGGGTTTTAAGCTTATAAGGATCATAAGTGTTTATAATATATGATGTAGTATAGGTGCGGTTATGCACAATATTTAAGTTAACTATTATTTTATATTTTATTTTTTGTGTAAGGTGGAAATTAATATTTTGCGCAAGCGTCATGCCTGGTACCAAGCTAACGACGAACCGTGCCATATTTTGATTTAATAATTTATTTTGGGTTATGCATATACATATACAGTGTAAATTTTCCTTCTAATTTCCTCCAATTTTTTTTTTTTTTATTACCTAAGCCATTAGGAAATTAGTTTGTATATTTAGTAAATATTTTTTTCTTTATAAAGGAACATAAGTTGAGGTTTGTCTTTTATTTCTTTCCTCATTTACTGGGTTTTTGGGGAAATAGGATCATAGTTTGGCCACTATATAGACCCAGTTGGCGCCTACTCATTTGTCTACTATTTCCGGAATTTTTGTAAGCTATCCACCCCCTAGCTGCCGTCTGAGCGAAGTCGAAGGCCCGAAGGTTGACACCGGAACAACCGAAACTTGTGTAACCGTAGTAGACAACATTTTAATTGTAATTAATACTTTAATAAATTTTTTTTTAAGTTTAAAAATTTTGGTGGAATCACCAAGTTCATTTCGTAGGTTACATTTTTGGCGCCCAACGTGGGGCCGTCGTGTTTAAAATATTATATTTTGAGTAATTACCTTGGCTTTTTGATGAATATAAGTCTTAGATAATTTTCATGCTGATAGAATTGAGTATATGTATATGCATTTACCATTTGTTGTAAGAACTGAATAGTGTACCAATTTGATTCATTGATTCACCTTTTTAAATGATTTTTACTATTTAAATTTTGAGTATTTAAAAAAGGTCAACTAATTGTGTATTATAGTTGAAATTTTGACTATTATTATTTTTGTACTATATATTGTATATTTTGGAACTTATATTTATATCGAGTTTATGAGTTTTGATATTAAGATGGCTCGTAAAATGTTTATTAATCGTTTGGAGAAAGAGGAGCTTGAGTGGGAACTTCGCTTTAGAGGTCTCAATGTTGGCACCGCAGAAGAGATGCGATCTCAACTTTCTATGGCTCTGCGTATGGAAAAAGCTGGTGATAGTTTTAAGTACCCTAGTTATCCTTTTAAGTTTGCTGATGACGAGGCTGCTCTTTCCAGGAAGTGTGTGGAGTTAGACGCTTTGTTAAGTAGTTATAGTGGGAGTAATAATGTCAGCGAGACTCAGAAACTGCAGAGTAAGTTGTCACACACATGGAATAGGTTTGATCAAATGGATACTGCTGGAGATGTAGCACTTGAAGGCAAAAGAACAGAAATATTGACTAAATTGATAAGTTTGCATGATGAGTGTCAGACGAAATCGCGACCACCTCCTAGTAAAGATGCTATTGTACCAGCTGCATTGAGTGTCGTGACCAGTAATCTAGATGGACAATTTTTGAATGGTGTGCAAAATGCTGC